AGACGAAACACCCCATGGTGTCAGGGTGGGAGAACTCTTCACATTACCTCAGGGTGCCAGAGCAGGGAGAACTACTCACATAGGTAAATGCATTCCACATATTTCAGATTTTACAGGCTCCATGTAGGTTTAGTTCACTTTGCTGCATAGAGTGCATACATACAATAGCCGTACCTACATGGCTATTCAGCAGTCGTAGTTATTGGAAGTTATAAAAAAGCCACCAGCCTTTTGCACTAGTTTAATTCCTTCAATTTTCAGCAGCCCTGCAGAAGCCGGGCTGCTGCTGGGGGAAGAGCCTGCCCTGCTCCCTAATGTCACAGAGTTGGCAGCAGATCCAAAGTCCAGGGCACAACCAAGGAAACTTTTTCCTGATGAACTGGACTTTAAATTATACACTATATCAGAGTAATGGATAGACTCAGAGATGACTTTAGCTGCAAACATTGTGGCAGTGCTAGAGTAAAATGCAAGTATTCACAGTAATTTATCTATTTTGATAGTTATGTGTCCCAGGCACTACCTTATTTAACCCTATTACATTTGCTACAAATATTATACTGTAAACATTTCAACAGATCAACAATAATAAGTAAAAACAAAATATTTTAGCTCAATTGCAGGAGAATGAAATACTGAAGAGGTCTTACCTGTATTTCAGACGACCAAGTGTGTCTTCTAGAAGTGCGTACAACAAAATGAGGGGAGCAAGTAAAGACATAGCTGTGCACTTCAGCTGGAAAGCTAGCACTTCGCCTCAGGCATCAAGGTGGAGGTGAGAATGAGACTTGGCCTGCAACCTGCCACAGGGTTGATTTGTGAAGTCATTCTGCGGGCGCTTTCGGCATTAGCAAATACATGCAGTGAAAGAAAATTGTGACAGGTAAGTTCATGGCAGAAGAAGTTCATATGGTTTAAAAAGGGAGATTGAGATTCTGCTGGCAAGCACCCCTTAATTGCTGTTTCATTAAACAACCATTTAATTGTTCCATCTTGCACCTAAAGGTCAAAGTATTTCTGTCTAATTAAAATCACAAGTTTAGCAGCAGGTTAATCTGAATAAGGTCAGGGCAGTTGTAAGAGATCATGCTCTCAAGGCAGGGGTGCAAAGGGGTGAAAAGCCTGATCTGGGTTTTGAGATGACTCTAAATGCGCCTGGCTGAAAGCTGTGATCACTGCTCACGTGGCTGCAACGAGGTAGCCTCAAAATGGCTCAAGCTCTGAGCCACTGCTGTGAGCACTATTGGGTTTTTTTTTCAGTTTAAAGCTAAGGACTTCAGGTACAGCAGTAACTTGAATGTCAGCACGAGCTTCTCATATATATACCCCACCCTGCAAACAAGGCACAGGGTGATCTGGTGGGTAAGCCACAGTCTGGGGAAAATGCTGCAATTCTTCAGTGAGCTCCAAAAAGTATCAAAACATCCTCAAATAGAAAGTTTGCTAAATGGGCAAAACGTGTTTCATAAGCTAATGACTGCTTTTCTCTTAGTAGTCCCTAGTCCTTCAGAGATAACCAGACATATGTTCTTTACTTCCATCATAATGTTCAGTATTAGATGTCCTCTGCGGTAACTGATTACTCAAAGAAGTAACTCATATACATATACTTCGGAAATTATTTTCCTGAAGTGCATGTGGAAATTACTTGTGGGATACTTCTTTTTGGGGTAATTTAATCTGCATTTGGTTTGTATTCCTACATGATTTATCGTTGGAGAGGTGGTTTATATTTAGTGGGTTTCAATATTAATAAATAGGTTACATGATAAATTACGATATTAATTCTACCTTTTGTGTATGAAAGATGCATATACTGTCCACTGTGTTGCTTACATTGTGCACAACGAATGAATGAATGACATGTAACTGAAAAAAGTATTACCATGATGATGCTACTAAATTATAAAATGCTTGATGCTTTATCAGCCTTTTTGATAAAGAAATCAGAATTTGCTACAGAGAAGTTATGTGAGAAATTAATATCAAAAAAGATTTATTTGCAGAATATAGCAAGTCCTGTGTTTTGATTTATTGTAGGGTCCCAAAAAAAAAAGGTTTTAAACTGCTTGAGGCAGGGATTAAGACACTTCTTTCTTGCTTCTTTAATCTCTCCACGGGTAAAAGGATCTGTATTTATAAGGCATCGCTTGTCCCACCACTGGCTGCAGGGTAGACAGCACCAGCGCGTGATTTTTCAAGTTGTTGCAGGTCCACAAGTTGTCATTCTTAGGCCCAAGGCTTAGCACATACAGAGGACAGACTTTGCAAATACACATCTACATAGACACAACCCAGCAATAAGGAAAGAGACGACGAGCAAAGGGAGGGCTGCGGGGCTTTGGGAACGTGCTAGCAGTATTTCGTATTAACGCTGTAAATGTGGTACCAGACGCTCGAGGAGCACAAGTGCCACAGCAGCCACACGGAAGGAAGGAGCAGGGGAGGACGCGGCCCCACAGCAGGACCCTCCAGTGGGCTCTGCTGCCCCTCAGCCTTTCACCTCTCCAGCACGTTGGGAATTTCAGCCCATTTAGCTCTTCCTGAAGCCCCAAAGTGGTGACTCAGTTCAATGCTAAGAGCCAGGTGCCCCTCATGTGTGAGCTGGGTGGGCAGGCAGTGCCAGCCCTCGCAGGCAGTTCCTTCTTAGCACCACGTGAAGATTGTCCGGTGAATGTGCTAGATAAAAATATGTCTTAGGGTAAATGGAAGCTCTTCACCCTTTGTCTGGAAGGATTTCAACAACAACAAAAAAGAAACCTCCTTAAACACCAAAACAAAGTGAATGCGTTTTTCTTTTAATGAAAATATGAAAAATGTCATAAAAATCAAACACAATAGTTTTTATGTAAAGTTTTGATAAGAAAAAAATATCTCAGCATGGGATTACACTTGATGTGTGAAAAAAAACAACTATAATTTAAACTAATTATCTATGGTTTCCTTACAATCAATGGAATTTATGTAAAGTTTTGATAAGAAAAAAAATA